TAAGGATGGTAAACCACTTAACTACACAAAGAAACTGTCACTCAAAAGTCTGGTTTTCAATCATTGAATGACCCTAGGGAAGGTTTTTAAACTTGTACGCAAGTTTGACCGTGCATAAGGCAGTTACTAATCTGTCTCATGGGAATACAATGAACATATACTGATAAAGAAGTTGGTATTCTTAATGGGGAGGGTGACGTCTCTGCATTGGATTTGAACAGAAGACAATGAAACTAGTTCTCATACTTTCAAGAGAGGTTAACCACAAAACACCCTCAGACTTTCAATAGGTTTTGTCAGTATAACACCGCTAAAGATATTTGAGACTATTTCAGAGTTATCCAGGGTGCTTCACTGATGTCAGCGGTGAAAACTGGTTATAGACAGAATATTGGGTTTAATAGTTGTTTCATTATGTCAAAATATTTTTGAATTTGTAAAATGTCCAAAAATGCAACATATAAGCCACATGTAAATTTCATATTTCATATCGTCTGAATAACCAAATGAAAAGGAGACACCTCAGTGGTATGTCTTAATCAGTGCATAATGTTTTGCAGATGGGCTAGGAAATGTTTCTGGATAGGATTTTTTCTTTCATTACCTGATATATCTTTTAATAGATTTGATGTGAATTTCAAAGATCACAAAGAAGAAAAAATAAGAATTTTATATTAAGGGACATAATGATTTTTTAATTTTCTTTTTTTTTTTTTAAGAATAAATTGTTTTGCTTCCTGCTGTGACAATTTGCATCTCTTTTTATCATAGGAATGACTGCCAGAAAGAAGATGGACTAAAAGCCAAAACTGAGTGATGCTTACATACTACAAAAGAGAGAGTTGGCAGGTCCTCAAGACTGATTATTTAAAATCTATTTTCCAGAAGATCTGATAAGCTGAATTTCCACAACCTGAAATGGACTATTACATAGAGATATCCCCAGGCACTGTTCATACTCTACAAATCAAACAGATCAGGGCTTTTATCAAATTTGATCAACAAGCTGTAATCTCTTTAAAAATTTTCCAAACATGTTTAAGCATTTTTGTAAGCCTTGTGTAGTCTTACAGCACATGACCTTCTCTTTCTCTCCTTCTTCTTTGTAAAGAACTTAATTCAATTTGTCTGCTTAAAAGAACAATCTTGTAATAAAAAAGTAGCCCAGATTAGGAGTTCTCTGGGACTCCAGCATCTGGAATCACTGTTTGTACCATAAGAGACAGTGAAATGATGAATGTCATGCAAAAGAGAAATTGCCAACTGTCAAAGTACCTCTCAGCTCTCTTTTGTACTGGGTTGTACGATATTTTTGCCCACCTGTCATATGATCACATTGCCCATCTGTCAGTCTAACTTGTGGTGGTTTCCAATAAAATTTTAGACAGAGGTGAATACATTCTGTAAGTGGATGAGAGAAGCTTAACTTGGGGGGAAGGCAGGGAAACCTTGGCCATTGTCAAGCCCCATTGGAAATAAGTGACTGAGCAAGTGGAACCTGCAGTCAGCTGAACAGTCAGTTCACAGGAAGGTCAGATCCAGCCATGGCATGCTTTGCTTCCCTCCCAGATGACAGACCAAAACACTGTGAAGGACGATTTGGGGTGAGGAGTGGAAGCTGGTTTTAAAGGCACAGGGAGCATTGGGGACATAAAGGTACTGCTTAGGGGCAGTGGTGTGAAACATCATGAAAATCTTTGAGAAAATTTGGGTCAGTGTTATAGGTTGGTCTAGGAGACACAAAAAAAAAAAAAAAAAAAAAAAAGAAAATAGAGTTCTGCTCTTAATGAGATTTTTATTTTTTTTAAGACCATTATTTCCCTTTTTCCTTCATGTTTAAACCTTACAAACTCTTCGGGATTATTTCTTCTTAAATTATACTGGTTTTTCTACCTTCTGTAGTAGACTTGCTTCTCTCTGCATTGGCATAACTGAGATAAATGCTAAATATAGTTATGTTATGCCAGTTAATTTTGGCTTAGTGTGGGTCTATGAAGCAGTGCACTGAAATGCCCCTAAAAGCTAATACAGCTGCATGTCACAATGAAAAATATTGTCTGGTGTTTCAGAAACTGATGCATTGGGGTCCCCCGCAACAAACTGTCTCATGAGGCATAAACATATACTGTATTTTGAGTCACATTTTTTCTTCAGTTGCTGGTGTTCTGATTCAATTTTTCATCATATACATGCCACTGTAGAGCACGTAAGGGCATTTTTCCATTGTGTTGAACAATAGGAGATTCATATTTGTGGAAAATAGCAGAATTAGAAAGTGTTTCTTGTAGATTATATAGTAAATATCTTTGATATAAACCCTTCAGGTGGGCAGCTACTTCTTTATAATCTTACTTGCCAGAAGATGCTGTACTCCTTTCCTCTGCAATTTTAGTATTGCTGTTCAATGAACTAATAAAAAGGTAGTTTCACCATCTATAAGAAAAATAATAGCAACCTGATTCCATTTCATAGTGCCACAGTTGTCATACATTAGTTGTTACTAATTGGTACACTTTTAGCACAATTTAAAAGGTTAAAATAGACATGCAATACACAAATGTTTTCCCCAAATAAATGCCTTTATTGCCAAAGTGAGGAATTCTCCCCTCCCCTCCACTCCCCTTCATACATACCCTTTCATATGGTTTTATGTACATTGACACATCTCCAAGATGAGGTCTGAAGTTCCATCTCCCTACTGCTTTCCCTTCTATAGAAGGAATAAGTAGCAGTACTAGTGATTATGATACTGCCTGGAGAGATAAAATCTGTGGGGTTAAACAATTTTAGAGAAAATGAGTTTAACATGAGTCTTGCTTCATGACTATTTGGGGAGGGTGTCTTAAACATCACATTATTCTTTTCCTTAAAGGACAAGAGTGAGTCATAATTAGTTGTTTGAAAAAATAGAGTGTGGACTTATCTTCAAATTTATTACTTCCCCCTCAGAAAAAAACCTTCCTGGGACTTTGAGGGAGATAGTCCTGTCTTCAGATATCTAATTCCTTCTCTACCCGAAGTGTGCCTGTTACTTCAAACTGTCATTCTGGGTTTCCAAGACTTGATAGAGGAAGACTATAAAGTGAGTTAAGAGTTCTTGATTCTGTGCAAAATCTAGGAGCCTTGTAGAAGGGTTTTTTTCCTCCTAAATTTTATTACTTTGAGTGACCTAAACTCAGGTCCTCAACCTAACTGACAGAAAAAAAAAAAGACTGGGTAAAAATCCAGGATGAATCTCAACTTTTTCTTTTAATGTACTTTAATTTTCAGTATAAATTCAATTTTTTCTTTTATTGTATGTAACAGTGATTTTTTTTCCTTCCAGGAAATCTAAATAATTCATGGTTACAGAAGGCATGCAAACATGACCAAAACCAGAGAAACAAATCATTCAAATGCAGATCTCACAAAGACACTTCTAATTTTCTGCTTCACTTTTTGCAGTAGTAACAGTCAGAGTATGTAACTCTCTGTGTATCAGTGAGGAAAAAAAGTTTCAAGTTAAGAAGGAGCTGGACTTCATATATGGAGAATTTTAAATGATTTAGTTTTGCCATCAAAATGGTTACAAGTGATATTTTGTAGCTGGCTAGGCATCACAGTAATTTCTTATCAGACTAGAGCTAGTGTCAGGAAAGGCCATTGTTATAAGTGATTACCCCTTTGTTTACTTTTACCCCCCTCCCCTTTCTTTTTTTTTAAAAAACAGGTGAATTTAAAGAAACCCTTTATTTAGTTCATAGAGTCATACAATCATAAAATCATAGAAGGGTTGGGGTTGGAGAAGAGACTTTTAAAGGTCATTTGGTCCAATTCCCCTGCAATAAGCAGGAACATCTTCAACTAGATTAGACTTCTCAGAGCCTCATCCCACTTACTCTTGAATGTTTCCAGGGATGGGGCATTTACCATCCCTCTGGGCAACCTGTTCCAGTATTTCAGCACCGTCATAATAAAAAGTTCCTTCCTTAGATCTAGACTGAATCTATCCTCCCTTAGTTTAAAACTCCCTTAGTTTAAAAGTTATTACCCCTTGTCCTATTGACAACCGGGCCCTGCCAAAAAGTCTGCTCCCATCTTTCTTAGAATTCCCCTATAAGTCAACTGTACCCCTCAGCTTGGTACCATATGCAGACTTACCGAGAGTGCACTTGGATCCCACTATGTCATTGATGAAGGTATTAAATAGTACCGGTCCCAGTACAGACCCCTGAGGGTCACCACTCATCACTGATCTCCATCTGGACATTGAGCCATTAACCACTACCCTATAGATGCAACCATCCAACCAATTCCTCATTCACCAAACAGTACATCCATCAAATCCATATTTCTCCAACTTAGAGAGAAGGGTATTGTTGGAGATTGTGTCAAAGGCCTTACAGAACTCCAGGCAGATGACATTCATGGTTCTTCCCTTGTTCACTGATATAGCCACTCCAGTAGTTCTACTGTCCAGTTTGATATTGTTGCCATATAAATGAACTGCCAAAACATAGCACAACAAATATCTTGAAAGACAGGTTCAAAGGCCATGAGAAAGAGAAAGATCAAGTAATTTAATTGTTGCATAATCCTATCACTGGTACTAAAATTTGTCATGCATAACATTTCACTTTAAATCTTGCTGATCTGCAGAGAATACGATAACTTTCTGGAGAGCTAAAACAAACATTCCTATGTCTAACAGCAAATAGAGAAATTATTTTATGGTCCCTTTTAGAAAACTCTGGAAAAGCCTCTTTATTGACTGTAGAGGGAATTTACAGACATTATCCATGTAATTTGCAGTTCTCTCCCAAATTGTAGAAGTATTAGCCACTCCAGATCTCATGAAGACAATGTAAAGATTTTTCTAACCTTACTGGGGAGAAGAGTGAAACAATAATTGGCAAAATATTAAAAGCTCAAGAAAAGTTCATGAATATTTATCTATATGTAAAGAAAACTGGAGCAGGTAGAACTGAGAAAGGAGTATAAAGAACAGTTTAGCTGTCAAAACGGTAATGAAGTTCAGGATCAATCCCTAGTGGGTAAGAAGGACTCTATCAAAGAGAAAGATACTCCTACACAAAGAGAATTTTGTCCACTTCATTTTCAAAAGTAGGAGTTTGTGCATTTGTAGATAACTGTACAAGTATCTGATATATGTTATGCTGGGAGTTATTTTTGTCAGATCCAGAAACAGTTCAGAAAATGTTTAGTAGTTATTTTCATATCTTCAGGATGTATCCACATGCACACTAAAATATGTTCGAACTCTATTAAAAACTCATAATTTAAGGAAAAAAATCTTAAATTTAATCAGTATGAGGGGAATGAGAAGTCACGGGAAAAAAAAGATGTTTAAATGAAACTGGAGATATTCAGCCAAAGGTTAGAAAGTCATTGTGTGGCTCTTTCACGCAAAGGTTTTTCCAATAGCTGTTTCACGTCTCCCATCCAGCTACATAAGAGACTAGAGATAGAGGTCTAGTATAGGATTAATCAGATCCAACTACGCACTGATTCCCAGAATATATGCATAAACCTGTCATTGTTGCTGTGGTATTTAGAAATGCTACCAGACCATTTCAAACTCTGTCCCTCTGAATTTTACAGGGAACATTCATTAAGTCCTCTTTTATTTTAAATTGAGATTCACCTTACCTAGGCTTTATTGGATATTATACAGCCATGTAAACTAGATCATCTGGGTGATTTCATTTTCACTGGGTGAAAAGGGTATAAACTAGATATATTTTGTATCTAATGGGGAATCACTAAAAGAATTCTGTTTGTAAAAATATCGCTTGAGTTTACAGATTCTAGCAAATTATTTTATAATTTGCTACACTGCTGCACTACAGACTAAAGGTAAATACTATGTTTAAAAATCCTTTTCCAACAGGACAAGATAGCAAATAATGGCTTGTTTTAATTCCTAATAATGCCTGACAAATTTGTGCCATTTAAAAAAATTTTTATACTTAAGCCATTCTGCACTCTAAAAGCCATAGCTGAGAAGACATATCTCTGTCAAAATAAATTCCTTGAAGTACAGTATGAAATAATATATTTGCAAAAAAAAAATGAACACATGAGGAATTCCATAAAGATGTGCTCTTCTGCTGTGTACAGAGGGTCAGATGCAATTTAGTTTGAAATCCATCATATATGATCTGGAATGATTCAGCTTGTCAAATTACATTCTTGACAAGCTCAGTCTTTAAAGAAGTACTAAAGCTTATGTAACAGCAATAATTGGTCAGCACAGGTCTATTTTCAGAAGCAACTGATCCTAACCAAGTTTGAATAAGGGAGCATTTTGGCAGAAAATGATTGATCTCAGAAACCAGACTTAAAGACATATGTCTCTTTGGATTTAAGTTTATGCAAAACAAACAAACAAACAAACCAAACAACAAAAAAAGAAACCCAAACAACTGAAACTAAACAAGCAAACCCTCAAAATCCCCAGGACTTTAGAATATTGAATGTTTAGAATATTGAATTTTATTACTTTCCTGAAATGTGATTGGAGAGCTTTCCTCCCCTCTCAGAGCACAATATTCAGAAAAATATCTGATTGCTTTTCCTAGAATGGAGAGATATGCTTTCATTGGTGTAAGCTGCCACTGAGATCCTGGAGCTGTGTTGTGATTGTAGAAGCCATAGTTGTACTGGAAAACAAAGAAAAAGGACATGGTAAGAACTTTCTGAAAGAGCATAACAGGAGCAATGGTTGCTGGAAGGACTCTGTCAGAAGAGTAGGGGTCGCAGACTGAGAAAGAGTGTTCAGTGGTGGTGACCTTTTAGAGAGTCAAACAACAGACTACTGCTAACCCTACAGAGTTCTGTCTCCTGTGGTCTTTTCCAAAGTGAAAAAAAAAAAAAGGAAAATATCTGATGGCAGCAAATGAGTTAAAATGAACCATGGACTTGCGTATATGCCAGACATTTTAATGCTAATTAAAAAAATATATATATTATTTTGCTACAGGCAAGCATTTTGCTTTAAGCAGAAGTTTCTGGAAAATTTCTGTGATAATTCTTCTATTTTATAATTTTTCCTTCTTGCTGTCCTACACTGTATTTTTCAGGTTGATTTCAGACAGGTTTTTTATGGTTCTTCCATGTCTTATGGAAAACTTTTATTCAGATAAACATTTTTCTTTCTAGCATTGATTTACAATGTATTTTCAATGTAAATTTTCACCCTTATTTTTATTTTTATTGAAAAATCTTACTAAAGCAGCAAAATATGGAATCCTTAATAGTATGACATAAGAAAGACGTCATAGATATAAACTAATTTGCTTTTTGGTTGTTGGAGAATATGATAAATATTCCATGCTGATATTTTTCTATTCCAACTGTTAGTGCTTTCTCATAGGCTACATGGTTGACAACTCTCTTTTTAGTAATAAAAATGTAGCAAATATATTAGTTTTCTTTAGGCGCTAACACTAACACTATTATTGAAATGTATCCTAATATTTGTTTCAAAATACATGAAAATATTCTTTGTTTATCCTTCATTATTCAAGTTATTTAACCATAGCTTAAAAAATTAGTCTTGTAGACAAATATTTCCACCGAGTTTCTAGGGATTTTTTTTCTCACAATAAAAATAAGGCTTTCAGGGTCAATGTTTGCCAGATGCTTCCTTAAGCAGAGAATATTTTTCTCCCCTTGCTCACATGCTGTGAATTATAAGAATAAATAGATTTTGTAATATTAATAAAGGCAGAAATTGAGTTGTTTAATTCATAACCTAATCACTAGGATGCTCTTTGTTTGATTAAAATGTCAAGAAGGCTATTAGGAAAAAGACAAAGGTAAAAAAATTGCTTGGGATAAATAGCCATCTACCAAAACTCCAGGACCCATCAAAAGCTATTCATTTATGTTCTCTGTCTCTGAACCTCTGCTGAGTTCACTTGACCAGCTGGTTAAAGGGTCAAGAGAAATTCTACAGCTAGACTGATTGTAAATTGTACAACCATTTAAGTAAGGAGCCAGACTGACTCAGGCTTTAAGGTCCAATTGTGAGTGAAGGTAGAAGGGTTGCATAGATCTCTGGAAAAGGCTAACAAGATTTTAGGTAATATTATTGTGGATGCAGATCTTTGCTCAGAAACCCCTTTTTTGTTTGTAGCTTTCACTTAAGTAGCTGACTCTGGCTTAAGTGGCTACTCTGTTTCCCCCAAGCATAAAATCTTGTGGGGAAGACCTTGTCTTACAGAGTATTAACTAGAGAAAATCTGATCAATGGACAGTTTATTCTAGCCCAGTGGAGCCATAGCTTGAATTTTTCATAAGCCTTCTTGCACAAGGAAGTACACACAGACAAATGAGGCAGGGTATAGATGTATTAGGTCTGTAACTGTGGCATACTTGATGTTGCTTGTAAAGCTACCCACACTTAATAAAGGCAAAAAATGAAATGAATTGTCAAAATGCTGGTTCAATACTGGAGCTGACAATATAACTCAGAATTCCTGTGTTCTTTGTAATTAAAACTTTCCTATAGATCTTATTGCATATCATGTCAATAGACCCTGTTCAAGGATAAGCATCAAGTGTAGTTGCACTGAAGAAGGTATAGGCCCAATTAAATGTTCTACTGCAGTCAAAATGGATGCCGCAGCTGTTAAGAAAAAAAAGTTGGTAAGAGTAAAAGCATTCGGTGAGCAAATTGCGGAAAATGAAACAACAGAAAGAGAACTAATATTCCTTGTGGAAGCTGAAAATATTTCTAACTGAAGTGAGACTTTCACGTTTTTGCAGTCCATTCCTCAAGGACTCCATAAGTTAGAAAATATATTGCACCTTTAACGAAATTTTAAAAACATTTAAGTCACAGTTATATATTTATGGGAAGATTAACTAAAACACAGTAGCTACATTAAATAAAAAGCTTGGTTTAAAGTAGAGAGGCAAAAGGAGTAATATAAATCTTTCTTAAGCTCATGGAATCTGTGGTCTCATTTGTAGACCAAAAACCAATTTGAAGTAAAAAACCTACAAAATTAACAATCGTTATCAGCTAAACTGTTATATTACCTTTTGAACCAGTGTAGAATATACTATTCACTGCTTTGAGCAGGGGTCATGCTGTTTTCACGATTGTGACTACCTAATAATTTTCACTAAGCCAGAGTTTTGCAGCTATGTGTTAATATTAACAGATTTATGATTTAAATAGTACCTTTCAAGTGATTTTTTGGGAGAAAATTCACATTTCATTTCTACCTGCTCCATCTAAGCTTGCAGACTGAATAGAGAAATGTTGTATGAGACTGGCAGTGTGTCACTGATGACGTCACTCACTTGCTTCTCAGACATTACTGACGTCCACACATGTGGGCCAGGCCTGCACATCTTTGTTCTGAGAAAGATAGTTTTACAAAATCTAGAAGATCCATGTGTTTACTCTATTTTCACTTTTTCACAGATGCCTGCAGAGATAATCATAACAGCAACAATAGACTAATTTACATTCAGACAGAAACTTCAATCACAAAGAACTTCTCAAACTATACACAGGAACAATCCAGCAAATGTGATCTCCACCCACAGATTGAAATGCAATAGGCTTTCCACAATTCACCCCCTCAGTTTACTATCTTGAATACTAAAGTGTGAATTGCAGGAGAGCACTTGTAAACTTTCATCTGATTTGCAAACTGAGCACAACATTTCAAAACTTGTGTGCCAAAAGACAGACCTCTAATCAATACAGTGTTGGTTGACAACCAGTTTCTCAAAAAGATGAAACTTTCACCCCTCTCCCTGGTGTTAGTTCTGGTACTCAAATCCTTCAAAATGTATGGTGAATAATTTAGCATGCAAAGTTAGCATACAGTATTGCTGATGGAAAACACCCATGACTTCTTCAAGATGTTTGAGTTTGGAACTGGGAGTAGAAATCAGGCATACTTACAATCCTTGTTCTAATTCCTAAGATTTCATTATGATTTGCATCATTATTCTGGACTGCTTGCTGTGGAAGATGAGTATCATTTGTCTGATTTGATACCACTTCAACTGATAGCTGATACCACTTCATCAGAGATCCTTTGTAAGAACACTTATGTGCCTGTTCCATCTGCGTTTGACAGCATTTAGATAAATAGTAACATTGTCTGAAATAATACATCTCTTCTGTTCCATCAAGTTACAAGCATATGACCAGGTAGAAGGTTTCTTTGCAGGTAGTAAAGTTAATGCTATATTGAAAGCATACTCCTTGGAACTAAGAACACTAAGCTATTTCAGAACTCCTTACTGTTCTATAAAAAAGTCTTTCTAATCTAAGGAGTAAAAATAAATGTGATAGCTGGGTGGCATGATGTCATAATGCAGATATCTCTGCAGGTAGAAGAGATTACTTTTGTTTGACAAAAAAATAAAGAAATGATCTTAGAAAGGAGTCCCATTTATTGCAATGGGAATTTTAGTGGTACCTCTTTCAGAAAGTTTCTTAAACTGCATAGTTGTTGTCAGCAGACCAGATTATTCTTTTTGTCCTTGAATCTCACAGCACCATGAAGTTCGAAAATGAAACGTGGTTCAAAAATGATGTCACTTAGCAGTGTCATAAAATAACAGGATGTTTCTTATATTGATATAGAAGAAAAGGTTTAGCTCCCTGCAAGTCTCTGGAGAGAGGCAAGAGGGCTTCAACAAAGCACTGTGCAGTTCATTCCAATCATACCTAAAAGGTTAACTGTGTGTGATGCATCTTTGTCAGCTTCTCTTGCAGTGCCGATCGCATCTATGGAAACTCCGTGTTACCAAAGCATTTACACAGCTCCAAGTCTTTTGATTTACTGTAGGAATTTTGCAAAGTAGTCCCTCCATCTGCTCTATCTGATTGGGGGTTTTTTGTTCCATTTTTTTAATTATTTTTTTACCCTCTAAAAATATTTCTGAATAAAAATGGCATACTGCTTTAAAATGTCCCAGCATATTTTCTAAGACACTGTATTGTTTTTTATTGTTCCACATACAAAACGGGTGCTAGATTATATGGGAAGGGCTAAAGGTTAGTGTTCATTATCAACCAGTTCTGATGTTGAAGTAAAAAGTTCCATGCTTGAGAAAACCCATTCCCCATTCTCTATAACACTGGAATAATTGTGCTGTTCTTACAGCTACAGGAAATGTTTTCTCTTGTTCAGAAGCAGATCTTTTAATGCTAAGGGTCAAAAGCATGGTTTTCAAGCATTTTATTAATCTTGCGAGGACAAGTATAAGGAGATTTTTTTTTTAAACCATCTTTTTCTGGGCAAAAAATGTACTTACAATATTATTCCTAATTTTAATTTTTTTTTCCCTTCCTGATTGCCATTTCATTGTATTTTAGGATTCACTGAATGTGTGATATTTTTCTGTTTAAGAAAAAGACAGAGAAAAATAGAGAAGGAGTCATCCACCCAACCTTCTGGCTCCATTAAGTGGCAAACCATACTTGTGGTGATTCCATCCTGTGAGGAAACCTCCATCACTAATTTCATGTTTCCAGTGTATTCCCCACTCCAGATTCAAGGCAACAGCTTAAAGAAAAGGAATGACTGGAGGGAAGTTCATACTTGGGATGGCAGATAAACCCTGTTCTTTCCCAGCTTGCTCTCTCAGGTACCTCTGTACAACGGATATGAGGCTCTGGATGTGGAAGACCAGTCAATGGATGTTGTGCATGATGGTTCATCTACATCAGAGGTGTTGCCAAGGTCAGAAAGGTGTATCCTCCAAATCACAACCACATCCACCAGGAAAAAAGGGCAAATTATAGTTGCAGTTGACTCCGTTCTGAAAGGAACAGAGGGACCAATATTCTATAGAGACCTTTCTATCAGGGAATTCTGCATTGTCCTCGAGGTCAAGAACATTGCTAGGAAACTTCCTAGATTGGATTATTGCCCATTATTTCTGTTTTATATGAGTAACCAAGAAGCTGCAACGTGTAGTCCAAGAGTAATCAGAGATTTCAGGGCCTTGGGATGGCTGGTAAGGGCATCTGCAGCACAATTTTTGCCTTTATAGTTCCAGTTGCAAGCAGCAACTTTGGAAGAAATAGATGGACCGAGCTTACTAATGCATGGAACCAACCTATCAATGTATGGTTCTATGACTCACATCACCAGCTCACTTTTGGGTTTTTTGATCATGTGATGGTCTATTTGACTCCAGGCAGGCGGGCACCAGATGGGTTATATCTTTCTCAAAGGGGAAAGAAAGTCTTTGCTCATTGACAGACCTTCAAACTAGACTTGAAGGGAGAGGGGAATCGTATCAGGCTTGCCTGTGACAAGCTGTGGGATGATATGATGAACTGAGAGGGATGTGACTTTAGCGAGGGCTCTCAGCTGGTAGAGGGAGGTGATTCTCCCCCTTTCCCTTGTTCTGTGGAGATCCCACTCGGAGTACTGTGTCCAGTTCCAGTGTCATCAGTACAGGAAATACATGGACCTGTTGGAGTGAGTCCAGAGGAGAGTCACATAAATGGTCAGAGGGCTGAAGCACCTCTCCTACGAAGATGGGCTGAGAGAGCTGGGGTTGTTCAACCTGGAAAAAAGAAGACTCTGAGGAGACCTTACTGCGGCGTTTTAGTACCTAAAGAGGGCTTGAAAGACAGAAGGGGACAAAGTTTTTAGCAGAGCCTGTTCTTAAGAGCACATAGGACAATGGTTTTAAACTAAAAGAGGGTAGATTCAGACTAGATATAAAGAAGACGCTTTTTATAAGGCGAGTAGGCTGCCCAGAGAGATGGTAGATGTTCCATCTCTGGATAGATTCAAAATTAAATTAGATGGTGCTCGGAGCAACCTGATTTAGTTGAAGATGTCTCTGCTTATTGCAGGGGGTTGGACTAGATGTCCTCTAAAGTTCCCTTCCAACCCAGACTATTCCATGAATTTATGATTCTATGATTCTATAATTCTTTTAATAAAGAGATTTTCATCATTTTTGTTTTAGATCCTCTGTTTTCTCCTCACCAAACTTTGTATTTGTGCTAATTTCCCACTATTGAATGGATAACTGTTTTGCATCAATAATACTGACTTAAATGAAGCTACTGGAAGTTGTTTGAATCCAAATGACAATCCCACCTCTTATAAACCAAGTTTTCGTTTGTAACCAGATTACCATACACAAATGTACAGAATTTTAAATTACCTGTTTTTACACGTTATCCAGTAAAGTACTCTACTTTTCTCCCCCTCCCCCCTGATAATAGACCAATTTACACTTTACACTGAAGCCCTGTCCTATTGTCAGAGGCCTGTGAGTTGAGTCTCAGTGGTCCTTTCTAAAACAGCTCTCCTGTGCTATATTACAGAAGTCTACTGGGTAAGCTTTGACATAGGATATCAGCTGATTTTTAAATAGACTGAGTAATCTCCTTCTTCTTAACCTGTTTAGAATAAAACCTCAAATTCTTATTCTCCAGCTTAGGAGCTGAATGATAATAAGAAAAAAGGTGAAAATTAATATCTCGATTTGGAATATGCTTAGTGTTTCTTTTGGTAGTTTTATGGGGGGTTTAGTTTGTTTTTTATATTTATTTTTTAAAAGGAAGAAGGTGTGTAACTTCTCATATGCTATATAATGCTCTGATTTGCTGATATAGGAAGTACAATTGCCATGAAAAAAATTAGTAGCTCTAGAAAAGTCTCTGTCTATGCAAAACTTTCTGAAAAAGAAATTGGTGAGCTGTTTTTAATTCTGAAACTTAGTTAATGAATTGCCTGTCATTCTTACAGAGCACTGGACAAACCTTAAGGGGGAAGCCAAACTGAGGTTCAAGGAGTGCCTAGTGAGAGATCAAACACTGTAGAAGCAGATCTAAAATGGTAAATCCGAAGATTGCTTGCGAACTTCAGAGACTTATCTCTCCCTCTCGACTCTGCTGACATTGGCACCAGGACAGATACTTCAAACGAACTATTAGTGAGTACAGCCTACTTGTCTCTGAAATTTGTGCCTCAGCCATGTTTTGAACAAAGCAGGTGTACTTCATCTCTATTTCTGTATGCTTCTAATTTTGAGAGACCTGTAGAAGTCTCAGGGTGGAGACAGTGTACCATTTGAAGCTTACATTCCCTCTCCTTCTGACTTCTGGAGCAGTCTGGCTCTTACTTCTATGTATAATACCCACACAATATTTGTTGCTACTGGATCTGAACCCAAGTTCAATTTAGACTTTGTATTTTTCCCCACGTACTCCTCAAACACACTGAAGTCAAATATTGTACAAAAATCTCTCCAATTCTTCAAGTCCTGAGTTAATTATTTGATCCTATCTGAACTTGTATCACAGGCAGTCAGTGCCAAATCTCCCCATTTACAGTAGTGAAGTATAGCAAGGAACTGTTTTATTTAAAGGGTTCTCAAACCTAGTACTCAGAATTCTTCAGAACAATAAGGGAATGCTAGCAAGATTTTCATTTGAACTCAGCCTAGGTAGCCAAATTATTATTTATAATAATGGTTTTAAAGAATCCTATAAGATAAGGTTCTGAAAGAACAAAGCTACTAGAAACCAATTACTTTCATTTTTTGGCCAAAGCAAAAACATAGGAATATCTATTTTCTCTGAGAAGGGCTTTGTACGACATGGCTATAGAATAGCTGCTGGAAATAGCTAACACATCAGGCACTGAAGGACAGAAAGACAGAAAGAAAGAACTGAGCTTCTGGGAAGTAAAAACTCTTTAGGAAAGTCTCAATTTTTATAGGTATGTCACTCTATTCCACATTGATATTATGTTTAGTTTTATATGACCAAGATCAAGAAAGCAAAGAGAAGAAAGTCAGTAGAAGAAAACAATGAACTATAGATAAAATTGGAGGAGAATCAATATTAAATTGTAAATGGTTTCTTCTGGCATGAAAAACAGTTTCTATGGTAAACCAAAATTATTCCAAGGAAAACAGAGAGAACTCCGTTTCAAAATCCATTGTTAAAACAAATCTCAATCAATCAAATGATTAATTCTACCTTCGCAGTGTGTCAGTTACAAATGGCAATAAGCAGAATCAATGGTATATAATTTGTCATCCTTTTGAAGTCTCAAAGATTGTTGATAGGCAAAATACCAATGAAGCTAACAATTGTTAGGTAAAACATGATTAATATTCTGCTCCGTGATAATTTTCTTTCTTTAAAGAAAGAGACACCATTTCAATCAAATTGCAGTTTTGTCCTTCCAAGGGCACCATAAATCACTAATATGTTTAGAGAAATCTTTGAGCAAATTTATTCACTTATACACATTTGAGACTTTACATGCTGTGCTTTAGTAGTCATAATAGATATTTCTGTTTGAACATACTTTCTATGTATTTTTTATAATATTGTGTAGTAGTAGGATGCTTTGCAAATTAACGTAACTACATTTAGATCAATGGAAAACTGAATATGATAAGCTAATTTCCCTATAATATTAAGAATTGAAAATCTTGAATATTTATTCAGGTCTCATCCAAGCATATGTGAAATGTCTTTGTTAGCACTTAGGTGCCAAGCAGTGCTTGAAACTTTGAAATGTAGAAGAAATTGAATTTTTATTAATCAAGTATAATGTTTTTTATTAATGCTTATTAAATATGGAATGTTACAGTATCTTTTGCAGCACACTTTTTCCTTTTTCTTTTCTTTTTAAGCAATGGACCCTACAAATAGCAATTTCCATTGTCCCTGGTTTTCACTCAGAATCTCCATTCCCATCTTTTTTTCCCCCTCTGAGGTTTTTTGGGCCTCTGATGTACTTCCAGAAATGCTTTCAGCATTACTCAGTAAGGAAGACTGATGACAATTATATTAAGGTTAAGAGCAGTCTCTTGAGCCTACAGGTGATTCTTCAAAATTTTGTTTCTAAAACTAGCCTGTAGATTGATTCAATTTATTTAAAATGTGAGACTTGCTGGGGACAAGTAAATAGCTGCAGTGAAAGTTCAATTGAGAACTGTAGGAAAAGGGGTACTCAATATTCAGTACTGTTATATACCCTTCTCTTTATCAGTTTATACAGAGGATAGCAGAAACAGCTGTACATAATGCCATATTTTAAAGCTTTACTGTGAAGTCTGGATGTATTTCTGGAAGATACTCCTCACCCAAGTACAAACTATCATACTCAGCAAATGTTTGTGAAATATTTTAGACAACTGCAAAACTCCACCTGGCTGTAACTGCCCAGGTCAAGAGTCCACCATTTCATCCAAAAATGAAGAAAATTAATAAAATATTTCTACAATGGTTTTTTATTATTATTATTATTCATACATACTCTGCCCAAAGAAGGATTGTCGAATTATAGAAGTATTAGTTTACTGTAAAAGAAGTTGAAAACTAAGATTGTTTAGGAGAGGCATAGTAAGGCACCTCCCCTTTCAATTTCCAGGGAACCGTGTTCAACTAAAAAGCCCAACCAGGAAAGGAGGCTGTGATTGTAAAAGCCAGCAAATATTAGAGCTGATGATATGTTAAAAAACAAAATAAATAAAAGAAAAGAGAACAACCTACAGTACAGGCTGATGCTTGTAGGAATGATTGTATGCAGTGAATAGGAAGGTTAGCTTTTGAAGACTAGAAGATGTGAGTGTTATGGTAGTTTGAGGTAGGGTATAAGAAGGTATTTTCATCAGATCTTAGCATCTGTGTAATCTATCTTATCTACCATGATAGCAGTATATTCTAGGATTTTTCTCTGTAAGGGGCTTTATTGTCTAAGAAGCACAGTCATGAATCAACGACTTGTTTTTTTGGTTGGGTTTTTTTTACCATTTCAACAGAAAATTAAATATCCTGGAATACACTAATTCCAAAATGCTACAGTTTTCATTATTATAATTGAATAAAGTAGTGCACATGAATGCTTTTTGGCTGCTGTATGGACTACGGATAAACTACTAAACTAATTTAGGTTAATTTTTAAAATAAGTTCAGACAGATGAAGAGATAGGAAAGAGATTTAAAATAAGTAAAATAAAGTGCAGAAAGAGCTAATGAAGCTAAAATATTATTAGCAGAGTTTCGTTCTGGAGGAGTTTGATCCTAACACGTCACTTGAAAGGCTTGACTGTGGAAGGATTAGTTATACAATGAAATTTATAATAACACCAAGGTCATGGGTTCAGTCCCTGTACAGGTCATTCACTTAAGAGTTGGATTCAAAGATCCTTGTGGGTCCCTTCCAACTCAGAATATTTTGTGATTCTGTGATTCTTTTTTTTTTTTTTGTACTCTTAGTAAATAGGGATATCGTGCAATGGATTTATCTTTTGCTCAACAGGATTACTCTCAGGAGTCTGATCTCTGCAAAACATGTAGCATGGAATAGATATTAGGAAAAGACAAAGGAAAACATATTTTGAAACAAATTATGAAATGAGAAGGTCTTAGTTATGTTTTATTTGTAGTTTACTATTTTTAGTGTCTCTAGAATACTGCCCAGATTGCTATAGCCACTCTTCTAGAACCCTTAAAATGCACCATTTCTTCATAACAATCAAGAGACTAAAAAATGTATAGCAGCTTCAGACTGTCTTTAAATACCAGGTTCTAAAAATTGCTTGCTCCAGCCATATTCTTTATACAACTCTATCAAACCATAAAGAAAGGCATATTGAGAATGTTTTATAGAGTTTGGCCTTGCAAGCCAGTAACTCCAATGTAACCTTGGCAGTAATACAGTGTAAGGTCAGGAGGACCTATGAAACCATACCAGAAATGCCAGAATTTGTGTCAGAAATAACAGAATGGATATCAGAATATCAGAAATAACAGAATAGATATGGATGTAGTGAACAAAACTGGAGTCAAGGTGATGCTAATGGTAAATTATAAGTAAAAGGCTGTTTGTATGGGATAAGACTGTGGTAGAGCTAAAGAGAAAGAAGAATTGAAAAAATTTTAAAGGGAATAACAAAAATTGCAATTATTTGGCCAGAACTATCAGCAGTAACCTGTGGTTCAACCATGAGCTTGAGCACCATAGGCTAGTTGGGACAATAACCCAAATCTGTTGTTACGACCATATCAAACATGTTTTTGTGAAGGTCTATGGGAAGAAGAGTGTGCTTTCTTAAGGATGAAATGCTCAGTTGAATGGAATAAACATCCTGGCGTCACACTGTCAGTGCCTGTTCCAAACCCAAGACTATTTGCATCTTTTAAGCTTAAACAAGCAAACAAACAAAACCCCAACAAAAACAGTGTTTTCTCGTTTGCTCAAGTATGACGTTGCAAGTAGATTGTGCATGATCCAGATGGCAGCTGCAAATCAAAATACTTTACTCACTGATTTTATGTATTCAGGCAACAGTGAAATATTTCTGAGACAATAATTGCCTCAAATTCCTGAAACTCTGGAGACCATTATTTTCCAGTAATCTGAATATGCACTGTTTTCTTATTAGTTTTGATTTACCTCTGCTATGTGCTTTGGATAACCAGAAATCAGGGTTAAGACTAATGAAAAGAAGATGTGTAACCATAGTTGGCATTATAGATTTTTAGCAATGCACAGTTTCTCTCTCGTTTCTTTGTTTCTTTTCTTAAACATTTTCTATGGCAATAAATGTATCCTCACTTGTGATGTGTTTAGAAGGGCCCAAGCTCAGCAGAAAAGGTTGTCAACTAGTAACTCAGTTTGGAAAGTAAAATGATTTTGAATTTACTTTTCAGAATGGATAAACTTAAGGAATGCAAAATAGAGTAGCTTTTCAGAGTAATTCAGTGATTCACTGTACTGCCTTCATAAATCAGAATTTAACAGTTGACACAACATAAACAATAAAAAAAAAATAGAAAAAGAAAA